GCTTCCTGCTGCGCCCACTATGGTATGTCAAAAGGCACGGTGGCTCTACACAGCCCTCTATGGAGACAAAGGAAAATCATTACAACTGTGTATACAGGGTAGTCAGAGAGTGTTCCACAAGGTCGTGCCAGAATGTCCGTGAGGGGGCAAGAAGCCGAGTCAAGGTGCTTGACTCGGATTAGCTGGCACTCTTCGTGCCTTCTTTTGGCCCGTGTCCCGCACATGACACATCCGTCCAAATGACGTACTGTTCGGTTATTGGTGACGGCTGGACCCCAAACACGTTGTCGTTTTTGTTTATTTGCCTCACATTCCCGGCATATTAACTTACTGTATAGCCGGATCACTTCACTGGACACGCTCAATGAGGGTGACGTCTTTCGTGCGTCCTGAGTGGACATCTAGGTTGACGTACTCGGGGAACGGTCTGAAGTGAGCCTCATATGGTGGTTGTAGGTCCACGTGGGTAATGCGGGAGAGGGTGCGCTGAGCCACCTGTGAAATGACGAGTGCCCTATGGGCCGATTCTTCATGGTGCAGAGAGAAGAACATGTTTGAAGGGAGCCAGATAATCAATTCCTTTTTGGCGGTCCTGGTCCTTTCTCACCATGGATGACGAAGTCATTCGCTGAGTCTCGTCCAAATGATATATGGACGAGCTTTTCGTCATTCAGAGGAAGTTGTCAGTCCGTCGGCCGCTGCCTTGCAGCAGCAATATGGCGGGCACTGATATTGGAACTCCAAGATTTCAAGTAGCCCGCAAAAGTAAACACGGACTTTCAAGAAAATCTGAAAAATTGCGGACGTGTATAAGAAACAGAAGTGGTCCTAAAACGAGGTCTTGCAGAGCGCTAGTGGAGACTGGCGCTGGGGGTGAGTGGGAGCAACAGACCTTCACCCGGGATGACCTGTCTGATAGGAACCCCTTAATCCAGTGAAGGATTTTCCCTTGAATATCGTAAGACTCGAGCTTGCGGAGCAGTGGGAGGTGTGAAACTCAATCCAATGCTTTTGATAAGTTGCATTGTCTGTAATCCGTTGTCACATTTATTTACCATTTTCCTGGACCTAACCTACATTTTGTTACGTTTATACCTATTTTATCATGTTTGTTTTATTGGAACAATAATTACATAGAAAAGTGATGCAATGTACAAATTTTCGTCTCGACCTTCTGACTTCTTGCTGAATAAGTGGATTTACGTTTTGTTGACTCAGTTGAACTGTTTGCTCTATACCTCTTGGTTATGTGAACTGTTGAACGTCACAATAACTCACTGGGTCATTTTTATCTGTGAATAACTTTCTTATCGTGGAATATACTACTCACGCGTGAATCATGATTGGAAATTTTCCACAAGTGGATATTTCCTTCACAGCCGGTTGCCGCGTTGGAGCCGGTGTAGTGTAATATATGATCTACACGATCGTGAATCCTCATCGATCGTTTATTCTCTTCTTATTGAGATTCGGTTCCTTTTCTCACTAATTTGATGCAGCACGCTAATAAGGTCCTAGGTGCGCTACAAATTCGAGAAATCTAGTATCCGAGAAGTGTCCCTCGTTCTTGGCTCTGGTTGGGCTTTCTTTAAACACGAGCACGTTTGTCACGCGAGAAAGGTTTGAGAGAAATCCGTGTTGAGCCAGAGATATCAATAACTCGCTTCAGAATGCGTTCTATCACCTTGCACGGTACGCTAGTGAAGCTTATAGGCCGTAGCTTTCAGGCGATTTTTGGGCACCAGCTGTGTAGATTGGCATGACAGTCGCCTCTTTTCAAGCCGAGGGATGGCGGCCCTCATCAGGCGATTGACGAAACACCAGGTAGAACTAATTTGCAAGGGTGAACGACGTTTTCTTCAGGATCCTCGGATGAACCTTGCCGGGCCCCAACCCACAGTATGGGCTAATCTTGTGTAAGGGTTGATGAATGTCCTCTACTGTAGAGAATAGTTCGGTTAGAGGCTGTTTGTAGTTATGCCTTGACAACAGTAGATGTGACGAGGACGCTGGGGCCGGATAGTCTTCTCTGTAGACCTCAGATAATGAAGAAGAGAGCTTACCAACAATTAGCCCCTGTTTCCAACCCCATGGGATAGCCAATTCCCATATTTATTCCCCTTGACCAGATGAACGGAACCCTTTTTGTTTTACTGAATTATTTTTATAACTCTTACAGACTTTGGTCGGACATTGTGATTTTTGCGTCGATATCTGTTTCGTTGTGACTATATCGATCTTGAGGCTAGGTGGTCTGCGCTTTATCCTCAGGCTCGTGATTGTACCGACTTATTTCGCTACCCTACGGTAGCTACAGATGGTAATCCGTTGGAGTTTGTTGAATGTGCATATTATTATCTTTGCAATAGTACCCTGAGTCCAGAAATAGGATTTCTTGGTGGTTTTCGTGGATTGGCACGCGTGACCCAAGCTCAAAAAGCAGATAGCCGTAACAGATACCACTCTTGGGTCATTCGTGTGCTCTTAATTCCTGTTCCTCGAGGATAACGCAGATGAGTCGTTCCTGGGGCACTGCTCAGTGTATTTGAACAGCACATTTTTGTTTTTCCGGGTGAGGTCTAGACGGAGAGCTTGTTTTCGTATGTCCCTTAGGAAGGTTTCTGACTTACGGTGGTTCCGCATTTTACGAAACGTCTTTTCCAGAAGACGCTGAATCCTTCTAGGCAGCCTGCAGCTCATCCGGCTACGTCTTGTTTTTTTGGATCGCACATCTCGCCAGCCTCGTAAACTTTCTGGACAATGGTCCCATACAAGTCCTCCAACAAAGCTGATCCCAGCTTAACTCGTAAAAGAAAGATGCGCGTTAGTGAGAAGTCCGCACGTTGGGTTTGGTATATCCGACCCAATAGCAGATGAAATCGAGTGTCAGTAGTGTACCCGTGTCTTCATGGAGCGCTAATTATTACCTGATCATCGAAGTTCCTTTCGTCAATGATAACATCATCTAGGCATTCGTGCTTTTTGGGGGGCATGGCAACTAGGAACCAAAAGAGAGTTATGACTGGACCATTAATTCGTTCCCACCCTCCAACCAAACCATACGTCGTCCACCGCGCGGCTTGTACTACTCTGAAGGTGGAAAGGAGAACCACACTCTCCTGGTTACATGGTGTTTCGGCGTGCGTAGATTGTGACCAAACCAACCTGGTTTATGGTGCTGGGTGCTTTCCACAATTAAAGTTCATTCAAAATAACCAAATACTAAACATTCAAGATACCAACACTAATCGTCATGTCACTAATTCGCTGACACTATCCAAAACATAGCAACGCTTCTGAGACATCGATGATCAAAATCCTGATATCACCAAAAGTGGCCTGTCCAGAGAAGCCTTGTATTGCAATCATACAAAGCATCCTTTACTGCAACCTGGTACACGTGACCCATAAGACCCGGTGATATGCACTTTTGGTGCCGCAAGTAAAGCATGACAGCAAACGTGCCGCTGACTCTATCAGACACACTTCCATCGGAGATAGTGAAACTTCTCATGTATGTAACTTTTTTCACAACACAGTGATTCACCGCGAATTTTGGGAGGCATCTTCTGGGACCGTACGTTCTGAAGTATAACTCTGCAATTCAAAGCCATAAGGCCGATGTGGCGCTTCTGAGACTCGATGATCAAAATCCTGATATCACCAAAAGTGGCCTGTCCAGAGAAGCCTTGTATTGCAATCATACAAAGCATCCTTTACTGCAACCTGGTACACGTGACCCATAAGACCCGGTGATATGCACTTTTGGTGCCGCAAGTAAAGCATGACAGCAAACGTGCCGCTGACTCTATCAGACACACTTCCATCGGAGATAGTGAAACTTCTCATGTATGTAACTTTTTTCACAACACAGTGATTCACCGCGAATTTTGGGAGGCATCTTCTGGGACCGTACGTTCTGAAGTATAACTCTGCAATTCAAAGCCATAAGGCCGATGTGGAATGAGTTATTTAGGCGGTGTATCTATTCAGCACGGACCAAGTTTCGCCTTGATCTCTAAAACCGAAGGTGATGACGACTGTGTACTCAAAATCGACACCTGGATAATGCATGCGGCACTCCTTCAGAATCTATGGACTGCTCTAAATTGAGCGTGGTGTTCGAAAGGAGTTCGAGTAAGGATTCGACGTCGATACGTATTACAACTATTGTCAAAGCATCACACCAGGCTGTTCCTCAAATGAAGTATAGCCTTCATGATGTGTCGTTCATTTGTAGTGTAATTCTGGACAGAATTGCTTTACCTCTCGAAATTAGGCGCCAAGTTCCAGAGGCCTGATTTACACACGGTCAGGCGATCGGGTAGACCCCAAGAAGCGTACCGTAATTTCCTCTAAAACCGTAGTTTCAGCAAAGGAAAGCGTTACTTTAAACTCTCACTTTTGACGATATTTTTTGAAACCATAAATTAATCATTTTAGTTCTGCTAGACATTTATTAATATACTCATGATTTCGTCCAGGCGAATAATTCATCTTTTCAAAGTTCGCTCAGTGCCGTTCAGTATTCGCACGATGGAACTGACTTCTCGAAAGCTGTGAACTTGTAATGTTTACCATTTCTTAATACAGAATGTCTATGTATAGTGAATTATTCTGCAAATTATCTAGATAGGTGGTTTGCTTAAGTAGGCAAACCTCCAGAGTCATCGACCGTCAATGACTGAGAACACGTTGCCTCGTTGAAATGAAAGATGAACAGCTTAAAGTGGATGGAAGTTGCAAATAGTTCCGCGGCTCTAATAATTCATCGAACTCTCCAGAAACCTCTTGGCCCCTGTGAATACAGAGGTGTCACTCCGTTAATTAGTTTTTATCAGTTGCATCTGATTTGTTGATTGACTACCAAAGTATGTGTTCAGGGACCTCGGTAATCATCCTGCAGATGATGCAGATGTTTGCTGTTCAACAGCAGATATAACTTGCAAAATATGCCAGGACAACCATGTGGTCGATCATAGCGATCGGGTGAACGAACCCAGCTGGCGCACACGACTAAAATGCTGCTGAGGGTCCAAGATGCATAATCAGCTAACCGCATGGAACCGGAAGTGAGCCTTTTTGTTTGATAACTATGTCCTACCGAGAGATGTATGGCCCACTTCTTGCAGAGTATTCTAAAATGAGGAAGACGTCAGTTGTATCATCGAAATATCACTATGAAGGATGAGGCTGAGAAGTGCATAGAATGCTTACCCTATAATAAGCACACTTCAACCGTTACAATTTCGCAGAGACTTGTTTACACAGCGCCATCCTCAACGGCCAATTCGCGTGCCCACTGACTACGACCATCAATAAGTACGAGACCCGTGACATTCGCGGGGTCCTATCAACAGACGAACTGTCCGGGGCTGGTGGGTCAAGTGAAATCATCTTG